TTTTATGAAAACTTCATAAAATATTCATACCATTAATATATTAATCCTGTTTAATTCAAATTGATAGAGCTCTATTACATTATATACAAATGCCAATAATGAAGCACTTATTACATTTTCCAATTACTTTCTACAGCATAATATGTATAAACTCTAAAATAAAGCTGTTTAGAACTGCCAATAATAAAGTTAATGAAACTTTAAATATGTATCTCTCTTGCTGTTTTAGTATCAACATTGGAAAACATAATTTGCCAGTCAGGCAAATTTTCCATTAAAGGGAAGTAGAGTAAATTCTCAAAAATGAATTATGCTCATCTCTAAAATAGTATTTCCCAAAATTATTATATATAAGCAACCCCACCCCCATCAAATCCATTTTATAAACGGCAATTCAAAGTCTATAAAATCCATTTTATAAACAGCCATTCAAAGGTAACAAAGTAACTGTAAGAATATTCACTAGTGGCCCTGGCCAGGTGTCTCAGCTGGTTGGAGCATCATCTTGTACACCAATGGGTTGTGTGATTCCTGGTCAGGACACATACCTAGGTTATGAGTTTGATGCCCTATCGGGGTGCACATGGGAGGCAACCAATCAATGTTCCTCTCTCACACTGATGCTGCACACTCTCTCTCTAACCAATAATAAAAAATATCCTCAGGTGAGGATTAAAAAAAGAAAGGAAGAACAAACATTAGTGGATCGCACTTCAGAATGTAACCATGTTAGCATATTAAAATAGCAGTCAAAGTAAACTTATGAAGTAGAATTACTGGAAAGGAACTTAGCATCTCTCTAGTAAATAAAATTATTAATAAGAACTTAAGAGGCTGTACTATGTGAAAAGAAAAAATTCCAATGTAGCAGCTGAAGGTGGCTCTGTGGTTCCAGAACTGGCTAACTCTCCACTAAAAAGCCTTTAACAAAACTTGTTTAAAATTCACTTTAAAGACAAAAGAATTACAAATAAGGACAAATTAAATAAAAAAAAGCCTAGAAAGGACAACTTACAAAGCCATGTTTCTGGAAAATAGGAACTACAGCTGTTTAACTGCATTTATATTTTATGACACTGAAACAGATAGGTGCTAAGTAACTGATGTGTTATAAAAAATACTGTCCAGCTACAAAATTTTTAAAAAACAGCCTGTAATTTTCCTTGTGAATATTCCTTTACTGAAATACCTTGATAAATAAAAAATAAGAGAAAACACTTTAAATTTTTCAACACAAGATTACAGTGTACTACTGTTTTACCATAATAAAAACTTTAATGTCTTTTTAGATTCATAAACTTTAAAACAAGTTTTTAAAAATACATGGATTAAAAATCCAAACAGAGTTTCAGGTTTCTTACCCTTTATCATTTATCTTACTAACATCCACTAATGGGAAAGATAAATTCTGCCACCTCTAAGTCTCTATTCCTGGGCCAGCATGCCTGAGGGTAGGAGGTATAAGAATGGGAATCACAAAACCAGGTAAATAAATGCCCCTCCCCCGAAGTCTCCCACCGTAATGCTCTCAAGGTCATTCAGCCTCTCTTTCATCTGTCTGTGGCCTTCCATTTCCTACTGTCACCATTCCAAGCATTAACTTTTTTCCACCACCCTGGAACTGTATTATTTTCTTAAAGGATATCACTGTCCCCAGAGGAGAAAGTGATAAGAAAGGGAGGTTCCAGCCCTGACAACTGTGACATATAGCAAAGTTCACTTAGTTTTATCTTTTTCATGCTATCCCATTAAAAAGGTAAGTCTTCTTTCTGTCTAAGACTAATAGTTTCTTACCTGCTCTAAGATCCTTTCTCAAACTCCCAGGAAATTGTCTCATTAATTACCATCATCCTTCCTCCACCAATAACATCACCTTCCTTTCTGATGCTTTTTTGTCCTTAACATAACTTTGTGCTCAAGTCCATTACATTTTTAAAAATAAAAATAAATAAAACTAGCCTTCAATTTAGCATCTTCTTCTAACTACTATCACATTTTCTACTCTCCGGCAAATTTTTTCAAAGTTGCTGCTCTCAATTCCACAATTGCTGCTTCTCAAAATACTGCAGTTTCATTTGCAATCCTATCACTCCATTTAACTTGCTTCTGGAGAAGTTTATAATAATCTCAAAAACATCAAATTCAATGATCACCCCTCAGTCTTTGTTTTCTTTGACACCTCTGTTGCAGCTGGCAACGTTCTCTGCTGTGATGAAATACTGGAGCGCCCAACAGAGCTATCCTGAGCCTTGTTCTCATTTTACATCCTCTTTCTATGGCTTCGACTATCATCCATAAGATGAACGTCTCCAAAGTCTTATTCTAGCCAAGACTAAAATGAGCACTAGACCTGTAATTCAGTCATCTAAGGTATCTATCTATATACCATATACACCACAAACTCAACATTCAGATTCTAAATTCATAATTTTACTAACAAATTTTGTTTCTCATATACTGGTTAACTATCTTCTATCTGGACTAGAATCTAGTGGGACTAATGTAAGACTCCTTCCTAGGTTACTAACTTGCACTGACATATTACAGTAGAGAAGTAAGCCAATGAATACCCTCACTTTTCTTATTGCCAAAATGGGGATAATCAATCATGCATATGTCTACTTACTCTACCAAGAAATCAGTAAGATATATGAAACGATATGTTAAGTTGTTCAATTAATGTGAAAGACTTTTGAATTCTTTCTGTGTGATTGGAGAAAGTGAAAGGCCACACTACACCTACTCCAAACTTGGAGTAGCCGAGAGAGGAATGATTCAAGAAGTACACATGAGAAAGACTAGATTTCCAGCCAAGAGGGAAGCAAAGTAGATACACCTTGCCTCCTTGCACAACCAAAAGGACAACAAATTTAAAAACAAAAAGTAACCAAAACTGCCAGAAAATCAACCTGTATGGAAGTCTGACAACCAAGGAGTTAAAGAAGAAACATTCATACAGCCTGGTGGGAGGGGTGGAGATGGGCAGCTGGGGTGGAGAGGACATGTGTCAAGGCCAGTGGCTGGCAGACCAGGCAGTCCCACATCTGCATGCAGATAAACCTGGAGGAATAGCTGGGGAGCGAGACAGACCTCACAATTCAGGGTTCCAGTGTGGGACAAGGAAGCCTCAAAACTTCTGGCTGTAAAAACCTGTGGAGGATGCAGCAGTGGGAGAAACTCCCAGCCTCACAGGAGAGTTCATTGGAGAGATGCACAGGGTCCTAGAACATAAACCCCCCAACCCAGGAATTAGCACTAGAAGGACACAATTTGCTTACGGGCAGCAGGGGAGGTGACTGAAAGCTGGTCAAAAGCCAAGCAAGCTGTACTGTTCCGTCTCCGACCCCTCCCCGACATAGTGTCACAACGCAGCGACCTGGTTGCCCCCTCCTGGTGACTACCTAAGGCTCTACCCCTTCCAATGTATCAAGCCCGCTGAGACAGAGAAATATGGCCCAATTGAAAGAACAGATCAAAGTCCTAAAGATAGAACTAAGTGATGAACAGACAGCCAACCTATCAGATGCATAGTTCAAAACACTGGTAATCAGATATGCTCACAGAAGTGGTTGAGTATGGTTGTAAAATGGAGGAGAAAGTGAAGGCTATGCAAAATGAAATAAAGAAAAATAGACAGGGAACCAACAGTAAAAGGAAGGAATCCGGGACTCAAATCAATGATTTGGAGTAGAAGGAAGAGATAAACATTCAACTAGAACAGGATGAAGAAACAAGAATTGAAAAAAATAATGAGAGGCTTAGGAACTTTAAACATTCCAACATCTGAATCATAGGGGTGCCAGGAGGAGAAAGGGAAGAGCAAGAAACTGAAAACTTATTTGAAAAAAAAAATGAAGAAGAACTTCCTCAATCTGGCCAAGGAAATAGACTCGCATGAGATCCAGGAAGCTCAAGAGCGCTCCAAAGTAGCTGGACTTAAGGAAGTACACACCAAGGCACATCATAATTACATTACCCAAGATTAAAGATAAGGAAAGAATCTAAAAAGCAGCAAGAGAAAAGGAGACAGGGGTTCTCATAAGACTATCAGCTGATTTCTCAAAAGAAAATTGCAGGCAAGAAGGGGCTGGAAAGAAGTATTCAAAGTCCTGAAAGGCAGGGATCTACATCCAAGATTACTCTATCCAGCAAAGCTATCATTTAGAATGGAAGGGCAGATAAAGTACTTCCAGATAAGGTCAAGTTAAACGAGTTCATCATCACCAAGCTCTTATTATATGAAATGTTAAAGGGACTTATCTAAGAAAAAGAAGATCAAAAACTATGAACAGTAAAATGACAACCAACTCACGACTATCAACACCTGAACCTAAAAAAAACAACAAAAACAAACTAAGCAAACAACTAGAACAGGAACAGAATCACACAAATGGAGATTAGAGGGAAGGGGGAGGGGTAGAATGGGGGAAAGGTACAGGGAGTAAGAAGCATAAATAGTAGGGACAAAACAGGGGGATGTTAAGAATAGTACAGGACATAGAGAAGCCAAAGAACTTATATGTATGATCCATGGACATAAACTAAGGGGGTGGGGGGTATGTTGTTGGAAGGTAGAGTGCAGGGCAGAAGGGAATAAAGGGGAGGAAAAAAAGGAACAACTATAATAGCATAATCAATAAAATATATTAAAAACAAGGTACATTTGAATACCTACCTGCTATGTTTAAGATACAATGCTAATTACTATGTGAAATGCAAAAAGAAGATTCCGTTTCTGCTCTCAGTGAAATATTAAATTTGCACACATACTAGATTCACACAAATACTGTGACAAAAGCCTATAAATACAATTAGTGGTAGTACACAATAATTTGCAATTTAAAGTAATAATAAACTTTCAGAATGTCTTGGGAATGAAGAAAAAGGAAATAGAAAACAAACTAATCACAAGTAATCCAAAAGAGAAACTATAGTTTTATATATTATTGCAAAGAAAGTGTTGGAAAAAGCAAGACTCTACTTTATAACACAATTACTACCTTTACTTGGGACTGATTTCTTCACTGAGGCTACATGATCTTCAGAGCTTGCAAGACGCCTCAAAACATCCGCCAAAGCTGCCTTTAGCACAGTTATTTCATCTTCTTGTTGTTGAACTCGTAACTCAAGAGCTGAGAGGCGATCTTGAACATCAGAAGTACTTGCAGCAGATATACTATCATCTATAAAGAAAATACGTAATATTTTAAAAGTAAATTGCTTAGAAAGAATCTAATGACAAATAAGAACTGTACAAGTCTTTTAAAAGATGAGAAAAATTGGGAGAAAAAAACCCTCATTATTACTACACAGATTAACTTCTACAAAATATTTTCTAGCTATTTGAACTTCACCTATCTGACAAAATTAAAATTACGAAAAATTTCTGCAAGGTCAAATTTTTCCAATTTATAACATTACCTTAACCAGTTTTTTCCACCGAAATGTTCCCTAAATATATCACTTTATAAACTTTGGGAAACTGGCAAGAGAGCAAACTTTTCAAAGCATCCTTTTTAATTACCACATCATTCTCATACTTACCTACGAAAATAAAAAACAAAACAAAACAGTACAAGTCACTTCAGTTTTGCTTTACATATCAGATCAGGAACCACTCACCTTCAGCATCAATGACCAGAAAGCACTCTTTAGTATTCTGTACCCCAAACCCAACAAAACACTGCTTTGTAATTAGCAAAAGACTTCTTTGTTCTTTATTTTTCCCAATGCCTCAACCTTTTGAAGAAAAGGTACGGTCTCCATAAAGCACAGAGCTAACATATACCTTAAGTATGTAACAATGTAAAAATAGAAAACTATTTAAATAAAGTTTAGCTATAATATAGCAATTACAAACTGCTTCCAAAGCTATGCAACTTTAGAGTACACTAGTGGGTCAGTCAGAATCCACATGTACAGAAAGATGAATCGCTAATGACTACTTCCCTATAAGTAGAAAAAGTCAGGAGGGAATTTAGATCTTACATAAGAATGATTTGGACCAGAGTAATATAAACTGGGTGAGTCATTCACACAAAAGCTGAGTGTGGCATTTCTCTCATACCAAGATAATATGACATACATCTTCTTAAAAAGATAATTTAACTCAAAATTTGAGTTCAACACTCTCAGCATTCAAAAAGCAAAGCTATCAGCATTATTATAAAGCAGTAAACAAAATTCATATTTAAGATTATATATGCCTATACACCTCTCAGGCACATGTATGTACTCTGTTCTGTCTTTAGAGGTATTTCATTTTTTTCATTATTTTTGGTTTTTTATGTTTTATTTTTAAAGATATTTCAATTACAATCTTTGAGGAGTATGAGTATGGAAGAAAAAGGTGGGGTTAATTTTCAGTTTAGACTTTAAAATCTGGTTTCATATAAATTAGCTGTATAATCTCAGGTAAATTATTTTACCTCTTTGAACCTCAATTTCTGCATCTTTAGATAGGATTATTATGAGGAAGGTACCTAGTACATGTTTGACATTCAATAAATGTTTAACATATAACAGCAAAGAATAGAAGGTATAATTTGAGAACTTTGGGCACATTTGTTACATTAAAGGCAGATTTGTCAAACTGTGAGATCCTTAAGAAAAGGACTAACTAGTAAGAGCGATTTGATCTCTCACTTTAGAAATTTTTATATGGCCTAGCTGAGGTCTAGCTGACCCATACTCTGTGTGCTATATTATGGTCACAAATTTTTTTTTTTTTTGGTCTGCCTAGAATGGTTTCCTATTTTCCCTCTTCTAGTATGAAGGGCAACAGCTCTTCTTTTTTGTGGAACTACACCATTTTTTGAGGTTCAATTAGGGGTGTCCATCTACAATGCCTCATTCTCCGCTCTACCACTCTCCATTATTACAGGTTGGACCATAAGAAGCAGTCTTTTCAGCTGGTAAAAACATGATTGACTATCAGCAATCTCCTATGATTCAACCTAAGACTACAGGGATGGCTGTAAGATAAGGACTAGGCCAAAATGAATTCGCCCAAATTTCCCAGTAAGAAAGAAGGTTGTCCAGCCTTTCGGCGTCTCTGTGCTACGGGGAGGAATAGTTGTCTGGGGCCACACATTAAATATATTGTGACATGTAATCACACAAAAAAATCTCATAATGTTTTCAGTAAATTTACGACTTTGTGTTGGGCTGCATTCACAGCCACCCTGGGCTGCATAAGGCCCACAGGCCACAGGTTGGACACCCCTGGTGGCCCATCCTTCTTGGTTTGTCAAACCTAGGGCTGTAAGACATAAAAAGTCTTGACTTCCCCAAGCCCGAGTTCTAGTCTCTAAAGCCCTGGAGCATCAATTCTGAGAGCTGCTCTAATACTCCTCCCATCTAATTATATAACCTAATACATTCCCTTTTTCAAGCCATCAATTGTAAGCCAAAGGTCTTAAGTCACTAAATTATATGAGCATGCCTTTCTATTCTCACTTTACAAAGGATGAATTATACATCTAAATTAAGATCACAAATATGTGATTTTAACAAACAAATAACCTTCTTTAATCATTTTGGGAAGGCAGCTGAGTCTGGTGGAAAGATTATAGCCTATAATGCCAATGTTATAGTCCTGAGCTTTAATATTGACATAGTAATCAGCTTTCACCTTTGCCAAGTCCCTTAACTTTTATGAACTTTGATTTTTTTAAAAATGACTAAGATTTCTACTTTGTGAAACTTAAGTTGCATGAAAGGTGTTTCAGCTTGTAAAAATCCTACCATTACCTGCTAGATACCGTGATAGGACACAAGGACAATTTTTGAAAGGGCACAGTAAACACAAAGTCAACTTTTAACAATGTCTTGCATTTATACTGTCCCTTTCATATTTATTACCTCATCCCCCTTCTCATACTACCTATATTTTGTATTTGAGGGAACAATTTGAGTTAGATAATTTGCCCAAGGTCACCAAACGAGTCTTGATAACTAAGACTCAAAAACACAACTTGACTCACATTTAAGTCCCCTTCATTTCATGCTGCATTCTAACAATAATCACAAGAGGACTAAAAATATATATCCCCCCGGCCCCCCAAAGCCACTGAAGGGGTTTAAACAATTAAGTGATCTAATCAGGTTTTTGTTTCGAAAGGTCCTTTTGGCTGCTGTGTGAGAAGGGACTGAAACAGGGTAAGGGTAAATGCCAGGCGACCAGGCAGGATGCTACTGCAGTAACCCATGTGAGGGGTGATGGTGGCCTAGGCTAAGGTTAAAGTGTCCCTGTGCCTCAGTTTGTTCAGGAAAAATACATCTGCTATCTCAGTATAAATATTATCATAATGCTCCTTCTTTCACTCCCAAGTTTCCCAGTTTGGACAATCAATTACAGGATCACAATGGAGATGCATAGGCATATGGCAGTTGATTTCTACAGTTCTTATAGCTCTAAAATCCTAGAACACCTTCCTGTCTAAAATCTTGACTCTTCACCTTTTCAGTAGCCAGAATCTCTGTGGGACTCAAATAAAAACCGTGGCAGAATAACTGCATGAGCTCTGGAGTTATACTGCTGGAGTAAATCTGTTTGTACTTAGCAGCACTGTGGCTGGTTTCCTCATATGTAATTTCTTCATACTAATTAGTATTTATCTCAAGCTTGGGATTATTTGATGAAATAATGCATAGCACTGCCATATACCGAGGGATATGTTAATTGGTAAGTTATTATCGGTAAGTTATTATCCTATATAATGGTGTTCTTTACTATAATATTTATTATTGCCACAAAATTGAAAATTTAACGTAAGGTTCATGAATGGGGTTAATAAGCTATATGATAACACCAAAAATACCATGCAACAATGAAAAAAGTGTGGTTGGTATATATGCTAAAAATCTGAAAGATCCACAAGACAAGTGGGTGGAATATAAGTAAAGTGCAAAACAATATGTACTGAGTAATTCATTAAAATACACACACACTCCAAAAACATACCTCTAAAAGGCAAAAACTTCATATTTATATCTGTATATAATGTAAACATAGAAAAAAGTCTAGAAGCATGCACATCAAACTGGTGATTTGGTTATTTCTGACCAGAAGAGCGAAATTAGAAGGACAGGGGTAAAGGGAAAGTTTTGCTTTTTAGTATAAGTATTTCTATATCATTTGAACTGCAAACAAAAACATATCACATGCTACTGAAATTTACATTTAAGTTAAAATGAATTGCTTCTAAGCTTGATTTTTTAAAACTAAGTTTCCTTTAGGCAGAGATTTCCAATTTTACCAGGCAGGGGTGTCCAATCTTTTGGGGTCTCTGGGCCACACTGGAAGAAGATGAGTTGTCTTGGGCCACACGTTAAATACACAAACCCTAGCAAAAACTGATGAGCAAAAAAAAAAAAAAAAAAAAAAAAAAAAAAAAAAGGTTTTAAGTAAATTTACAATTTTGTGTTGGGCCACATGCATAGCCATCCTGGGCCACATGAGGCCTACAGGCCATGAGTTGGACACCCCTGTAGGAATTCATTAAGAGTATAGGACAATTAACTTTGCACTTACTGATTACTAAAGCTAGAAAAGAGACTATCCTGAAGACCAACAACCCCTCCTGACACTTACAGATGTAAACTAAGACTCTGGGAAATTAGCTGAGTTACTTAATGCTCACAGAGCAAATTGGGATTAGAGTTCCCTCCTCAAGACTCCAGAGAATTCATCACTCTTGCCCTTTCCAGTTTGAAAACTTTGTTCTTGTTTTTTGTCTCCCAATCTCTAATGCACTACACTCTCATTCACAATATACTTTTTAGGAATACATATGTTCAGTAAAGAGAATACCTATTTCCTGGGGACGGGGGGGTGGCAGCTTTTTACTCTTCTTTTTCTTAAGCCAAGTATATTAGTTCCTTTTCCTTGTACCATGGTAGTCTCTTACATCTTTGCTTCCTCTAAAAATAGTTTCTAGCACTGGGGGTTAAACTATAAAATACAAGCGAATTCTCAAAGCTCTTAAATTCATGGGGAGGAGGGACAAGAAGAAGGTCCATAAATCTTTATCCATCAGTCTATTATATTTATTGGCATCTCTTTTATTAGAGATGCAAGCAAATTTGTATGTAACTAGTAAACTTTAATATTCAATAAAATTCAATATTCTAGTTTTAAAACTACAATGACATCTGTTCATTATGCTTTTACTAAAGTGAA